ATAGAAGAGCATCAAATTTAGGGGGATGAATACTCGCCTACAAGTTTGAGAGTCCCACCCAGCTAAGTTGGCCGTCTCAAAAAGAGCAATTCTCCAATTGTTCACCAAGTAGATGTTGCGACGAAAAGATCTCTCATGTTTCGCAAATGCCTTCTTGTAAGCCCCTTCTTGCTTTCGCACATCTGAAGGGTCAACTTTATAAAACACAGGAACAACAATCTGCCCCTGAATCCTTTTGCATTGGAGTATCTGGGTGAGCTCATCCAAACACCATTTTGAGGAAGCATAGTTTTGTTAAAAAACCACCAAAGATATGGTGGAGTTCTTGATAGCTTGGATAAGTGCAGGTGAGATCTCATCTCCTTTGTGAAGTCTGTAATCGATGTAGGTTTCTATCTTGTTGTGGCAGAGGGCAGTCTAAAGATGGCTAGTGAAGTTGGTGCGGGTGTCGTCTCCTCTAAAGCTAATAAATACATCATACTTTCTGCAAGGAAGTACAGAAGAGGAAGAGGATGAAGCAACAATGCCCATCTTCAGGATTCAGGAACGTTGCTCTCTCTCTTCTTCCGTGAGAATTTTAACACTGATCGTGGAATTTGCATTTTTCAAGCTATCTACTTATTAAACAAGTAAGGGTCCGTTTCGATCGAAAAAGTAACTTATTAAAAAAAGTAACTTATAGAAAAGTGAAATTGGATAAAAACTAAATTAGATAAGTTGAATTGTGTTTGGATTAGAGTTCAGAAAAGTTATATTGTAAAAGTGAGATTGATAAAAGATTGTTTAGATTATGATTGAGTAAAAGTAAGTTTGGTTGTAAAATGACCAAAATAGATATGAGTTTTAATAAATAATGAAACATGATTAAAAAAATAATTTCACATAATACAATGAAATTAAAATAATTTAATATGAAGAAGTCATAAAAAATATTTTAAATATAAAGTGAAATATGAAAAAATAAAAGTATATTTTTAGGAGCATATTTAAAAATAAAAATATACTTCTAACTTATTCATTACTTTCAACTAATTTTAACTAATTTTTTATTATTTACAAATTAGTTATTTGAGGCTTATAATAAGAACCAAAACAGATAATAAATTTCTTAACTTTTTCTCTCTCCATATTTCAAAAGCTATAAACCATAAGCTATAAGTCATAAGCTGTTAATTTTAGCTTATAGCTTATTGTAACTTTTCAAACAAAAGCCCGATTGCAAAAAAGCTGATCCAAACAGATCCAATTGTGTCAATCGAGCTTATAGAGCTTATAAGCTACTTATAAGCTCAAAATAAGTGATGCCAAACAGGCACTAAGTCAATAGGGTTCCCTGATGGTTTAGAGCAACGATGTTGGCAACAAAAGCAAAAGTCAAATTTGGAAAGCCGACTTTTTTTAATAGTATAAGATAATAAAAAATTATACTATTAAAAAAAAGTATATTAAACATAATATTTATAAGTAACTTTCAACATACTATTTTATTAGAACCATGAAAATTTTAAATCTTATTAACTCTATTTCAAAATTTAATGATTTTCTAATTTTATTATTATTTAATATATAAGATATCCTAAAAATATAAAGCATATTTCTTAATAAATAAAGAGTAAGATTATATAGTTATATAAAAAAATTTAATAATATAACTTATAAATAGTATAAAAAAAAATTCTTGTTTACGAATAAAATTAGAGGAGTAAAATGTTCAAAATTACACTACGTGACCCCGGAAAGTAACGAGCTTTTTCTTAACAAAAATTCGGCTTACATATATGTTTGCCTACAGATTTGGTTTTTGGCCCAGCTGCCCAGTTGGCCCCTTTATATAGGAAATAAGATTTTTTTTTTAAAAAAAAATGTAATGCGTCCTTGATAAATAAAAACCTTTAATTAAACAAAATAGTAACTAAATCCTCGGGGACATTAATTTATAAAGCAAAATAAATGTTTCATGAGATAAAGTCTCAATGTGTACAAAGTGCTGTGAACTCAAAGAGACGGTCTAGCTAGACTTTTTTTGTTTCTGTCAGACAAAAAGAATTTTTAAATATAAAGTATATATTTAGTTTATTAACTTTACACAAAGTTTCAATTTAGTTTTTTTACTTAAAAAATTATATTTTTAGTCTTTTAATCTTAAAATTATTAACAAAAAATGATATTATTAAGATCTTGAGTGTTGATAAAACATTCTCAAATATTAACATATTAAATTTAATTTTTAAAACAACTATAATTATTATAAAAAATTATATATTAAAGATTTTAAAACTAAAAGATTAAAAATATACTTTTTAAAGTTAAGAGACCAAGATAAAACACTATATAAAAATAAAAAAACTAAATATATACTTTAGTCAAATTTTTGATGAACAAAAGAAAGTAGGTTATGAGTGATTATATTTATTTTTTTGAGTTATGAGGCAATGATTATTAAATATCATATAAATGCAAAAAACTATTTTATTATTGAATTATTTTTTAAAAAATTATTAATTATATAATATTTTATTATTTGAAATACATATTTAATCGAATACTACTTTTATTTAATAATTAAACATATGATAAGGGATCTTTTCCAATTAGAAGCACATTCCAGTCCACCGTGGTATTTTTCGGGTGGGCCAACAAAATATCAACATTTTTTTGTTTTGTTTTGTTTTTTTTTTTTTTTGAGGAAAGCGCAGTTCATTCTATAATACCCAATTAATACAAGTCATCTTATCAAATAGAATAGCACTATGCATCCTGGAGGATATTAAAAACCACAATTCACTACTCGGAATTATAAACGAATCTTCAGAGATATCAATATATCAAAACAAGCGTGCTTCATCAGATCAAAGTCTTAGCTTTTTCGAGTGCAAGGAACTCAAGATGTATGGCCTGCATAAGTACCTGAGTCACCTTCACATTTCATTTCTGTAACAAAATAATAAAAATAGTTAAAATTATGCTCAAAGTTATGGTAAGAGAAGTAATTATATAATTACTACAAGCACCCACTGCACAGCTTATCAGTCATGCAAAGAAGACAGAGTCAATAAAAGGAATTATAACGAACAAAAGTAATCATAAGTGCGCTGGAACTTATGGTATATAACAGAAATAATTATTCCAAATCCTTACTGTTCAGTCAGAACACATTAAACATGCGGAAGATAGACCAATAAGACTCTATCATCAGCTTACGTTTGAGTAACTCTGCCTCTGCAACATCAAACAGTTCTTCTCTAAAGATTACTCACTTGAGCAAGTAAGTCACAGTTCTTTTAATCTTAATCAAATTTTAGTCCCATTATATCAATCAAAAAGAAAGAAGGCTTCCCCATGCGAGAAATGAAATGGGAGAATGGAAATTGAGGACTGATTTAAAAACTAATCTCTAGTAAGTTTAAAAACTAATCTCTAATAAGGGCTTTTTATAGTTGTGAAAAGCTGTAAAGATTAGAAGCTTGGGTAGTAAGAAATTGAAAGTTTAAGTAGCGATAAGTCATTGTTTGATATTAAATGTCCAATCAGATCCAACATTGTCATCTCCAAAAAAAAAAAAAGCTTTAAATTCTAAAATAGAATAGTCATTTGGTAAGAAATCAACTATGCTCGTTTGCTACTTTCCATCCAAATTTTGTTTTGTAAAACTCTTCGAACCCATTGTTGAGTTTGAAAAAAATTAAAAATTTGGACAATAGTCTATTAACAGGAAATTGAAATGAATTTTTTTTCTACTTGTCACGAGCAGATAATCATATTATAAGAAAATAATTGACTATAGATTGCTTAAAAATAATCCTTTTCACGCACAGATGCATCCATATAATATAATCAGTTGCCTAAATAAACATTAATTGTGTACCAAACTCCAGCCTAATTAATGGGTAAAATCTTGAGAGAGAGAGATTACCACTAAAGCATTGATAGTAATTTATTTTTGTAGAGTGCCATCCTTCGCAAATTTCAAATTCAATTCAGACAGTGAGAGTAGTAACTCGTCAATGTTGGTAGATTGAACAGAAGATGCCTTCAATTTCTTTGTTAGAGTAAGTAGTTCTTCCTCATCACAAGTATCTCGAGGTCTCTTCATGCCTACCTCCAACTTCAATTCCTTTTGTTGAAGGAAATTGTTATATTTTGAGGCATATATTGGGTGGATTCCCCATTCTTTGATCAAGCAATCACCAATCACCAAACTCAAATTCAAATGAAAGCAACCCCACATCCCCAATTCTTTTTCTTCTAACTTGATCTAATATGAATTCACAAAAGAGGGGATCATACCATTGGAAGGCATTATCCGAATTCAATTCTGTCATGGAATAATGCCATCCTCTTGGGCCTTCAAATCATGATCAGAGACCCTTTTTCATCAAAATCATATAACCAGGACCACCGACAGCTTGAGTGATTTCGATCTCTTTCTTTTGAGGAGAATTGAGGAATAACAAAGCAAAAAATGAAACCCATCAAGTCATCAAAATCTGGAAGTTGAAAAGAAACTGAGTGAGTATCCGTGGTTTTGTCTAGAAACCCCGCCGGAGTATTTGGCATTTCAGGGGAAGAAACATGTACACTTTCAAAATTGCCGTATACTCGCTTCAATGAGCAACTAGCATATTCCATAATTCCACAAAGTGAATGCTCATCGTTATCACAACCACTCTTCTTTTGACTACCCAAATCCAACCCGAATTCCATTTGTTGAAGGAAATTGTGATATTCTGAAGCATATATTGGGCAAACCCCACATGCTTCTATCAGATCATGTTTGGTTGTACAGTAGTTCTCATCATAAGAGACAAAAGAAAACTCAAATGAAAGCTTCGAGTTACCTTTAATGCCTTGATCCTCTCTTTCCATAAGTTCCCTTAAAATGCATACAGAGTAGAGTGGATCATACCATAGAAAAACATGATGCGAATTTAAGTCTGTTATCGGCATATCGTCACCCTTGCCTCTGACTTCTTCACCATCTTCAAAGTATATTTGGCATTTCAGGTAACTCTGACAATTTGGCTTTGACGTGAACTGAGGAAGAACAGAGCAGAAAACAAAGCCCAACAATTGTTCACAGATGAAGAGAGTTCAATGGTTATGAAACTTGAAGCCTTAGTTGTCTGGTTATATCTAACCCACTCTGGAATTTTTCTCCCTGGGTAACAAAAAGCACCAGTTCGATTGAGATACGCCGCTCGCTTCAACGACAAGTAAGCATATTCTTCAATACTGGAAAGTGAATGCTCCAACTTCAAGCAGTTTTCAAGAAAGAGGGACTCCAATAGATATTTCCGTTGCGGCCTACAAGTTGTTAAAGGGAACGCAACCTCCAACGATAAGCAATTAGTGGCCTTCACGTATCTAGTGAATGGTGGAAGTTCTGGTAGACATCGAAGCCTCTTGCAATTGGTCAAGTAAATGTAGTCTAGCTTCAGGAGATGCTTGATGCTAGAAGGAAAGTACTCTACATTGCTTCGTACTAATCCCACTAAATATAACGATGATAAGGAGCTCATGTTGTCAGGAAGCTCATGCAAGTTACTACATCCTTCCAAATAAAGGTCTACCAAAGAGCGCAAGGCATCAAATAACTTGAGCAGGTTTGACTTACCAATCACTGGTCCACAATCAAGAAGAGTGAGCTCCTTAAGAGATCTCAAATAACATAGCTGCTCAATTGAAAAGTTCGTCAGATTTGAGACATTAAGGCGAAGCTTTCTAAGTTTCATAAGATACCCAATTGAGGGATACGGTGTTAAAGCCATCATTCCTTCTTCTGGCGACAAAGAATATTCCCGAGAAGTGAGAGTTATTGTCCTTAAGGATGGGCAGTTGGCGGCATCTAATTCTTCGATGGATGGTGGAAGCTCTGGTAGAGATTGTAGTCTGTCACAATTCTTCAAAGAAAGAACTTTTAGCCCTGAGAGATGCTTGACATTGTTAGGAAGTTCAATTAAGTTCCGACACCCATCCAAATGTAGTTTTTGTAAAAGCCGCAAGGCATCAAACAGAATATGCAGCTTCAGTTTGTCAATTACTTGCTCACAATTACAAAGCCGTAGCTCCTGCAGAGATCTTAAACAGCATAACTCATTTATTGGAAGGCTCTTCAGTCTTGAACCATTAACACTGAACTGTTTAAGCTTACTGAGATGCCCAATTGATGAGTCCAACATCTCAATGCGAGTGGTTTCTAGTTTTAAGCTCGCGATTTCTTGTGATGGCAACGAAAATTCTGTCAAACTAAAGCACCAATTGAGATAAATCTCTTGGAGAGACTGTAGAGGATTCTCACCACGAAGTTTCTTCAGTTTAATGCATTTATTGAGATTCAAAGCAACAAGTCTTTGTAAAGATAAGATAGATGGGTGAACATGACACAAACTTTCGCATGATTCAAGATCCACGGATTCAAGATTCTGTGCCTTCGAAAGATCAGGTAGCTCCATCAATTGTTTGCATCCAGCCAGATTTATTCTCGTCAAGTTCACAAAATCCTGTCACGATTAAAAAGGAAAACATTACATGAGAAAGAAAACCACAGAGCTTTGACTAAAAATTGAAACATACATTCTCTTATTTATATACCTGCACTCCATCCCAAAGTTTTTTAACTCGGCTGTTTCGCATGCGAAGTTCAACAAGTTTCTCTGGACAAAATGAGGATGGTAGAGACTCCAAAGGATAACCATCCCATTGAAGGTACCTTAATCGCTCAGATAATAATTCAAGGCCAGAAGACAGATCCACCTTGCAAGATCTCCTATCCTTGAGCGAATAGAATTTTATAAATCTTAGATTGGACATCTTTTTGAAGGTATCAATGCTCAAGTGTACATGTCTAATTTTGGACAGATCTAATACTATGCCTTCAATTTCATCAGTTCCCTGAAAAAACACAATATAAAGTAGAATTAAATTGAATGTATATATGTTAATATAACAATCAGTTGCAGTAATGTAACAATCATGTGATGCACCATAACTAAAAACATAATGCTTCTTACTCACTGCATTATTTTTCAACACATGATGGACTTCTTCTGGATCACATAATCTACTTCGTCTTCCAGGTTCTTTAATACATTCTTGACGAACAATTTCATAGCCCATGTCTTTTATTAAGTCATGCATGAGTACCTGGCCATGATCAATAGTTATAAGAGTTCTATCTACAAGGGTTTCCAACCCAATTCTCGCATGGAAACCAAAGCTTTCTAATAGTGTTATCACATATTCCTTTCCTTCACCATTCCAAAAAAACGCAATGTCTAGAAACATTTCCTTCTCTTCAAAACTTAATTCATCAAAGCTCAATTTCAAAACTTTAGAATGTCTTCATTGGGACTCTTCTTTAGTTTTGACAATGCACTATCCCATCCTTCGGAGTTTTTGAACGAAGAAATGAACCCAATACTACCAAAACTAACGGAATGCCTTGTGCATAATGAACAACCCTTTGTGAGAGGGATTCATATCCAATGTTTGGATGGTGTGAGTGGAAGGCTTGAGGTTGAAGAGCTCAACAGACTTGTGATGGCTCAAAGGCCGGGCCGCATATATTCATGAACTCCTGCAATTACAAGCAATTGCTTATGCCTTGTTGTAATGATGACTTTACTGCCTGGTCCCAAGTATTCCCAATATGGAGCTAAATACTCTAATTGCTTCCAACTACTAACATCATCAAGCACTATGAAGACTTTTTTACAACTTAGTCTTCTCATAACAGAGGCGTTACTTGCAACATTAGGCGGCCTATGAGGGGAAATATCTTCCTTTAGTAGCTCAAACAGAAGGTTGTTGCGTACGTATGTCAATCCTTGCTTTTCTACCTCTTCTCTTACATTTTCCAAAAAGCAAGAACTCTCAAATTTGAAGGAGAGTTTGGTAAATAAAGCCTTAGCCATGGTGGTCTTGCCTATACCACCCATACCCCCAATTCCAATTACTGGGACTTTTTCCAGTAACCTTTCAATCTCGTTACAATTTTCATCAATTCCAACAAGACCCATCAATGAACTTGGATAACTGAGGTTAATCTTTTGCTGAACGTCGTTGACAATATTTTGAATGAGTTCTGGTTCGTCCCTAAAATATGAAAAAAGATCAACAAAATAAGAAAGTAAGTATTATTTTTTAAGGTAAAAGAGAAGCCGCATCAAGTAAACAACAGATTAAACAGGTCTAACGATAATATCCTCTCCCTTTCAAGGAAAGCCATACAAAATTTAGGTGGCTAATAGAATGATTCCAATCAGGGGAAGCAATATGAGCTTTTGCCTGGCAAGTAAGTGGGCACATTCATTAACTTCTCCGATAAAAGAAAGTATTATTGTAAAGGAAAAGGGAGAGATTGATGAAAATAAATGGACCATAAATTAAAGTGGCAAAAAGAAAAATTCGATGATATCGTAAATTTTGTTGTCTTCACTGACAAATGATTTGAAATAGATGGTACAATTTAAAACCTGAACACGTTTTAATGAATTTTTTCGAGAGGCACTCCAAATTAAAGAAGAGAGAATATGAGCATCGTCTAATGGCCTCAACATTATTTTTATTGGAAAATCAATGCGACTCACGAGGCAGTCAATTATTGATATCTTTTAGAAATAAATAATCACGAAATTATTGATATGATATAAATATTTTAGTTTTCAAGACGTAAGTATTTAAGATACGAAATCATGGACAAAAAAATCGAAATTCTGGGCCAGTAAGAAAAGAAAAAAGAATAGAAGTATAAAATTGTCGTTAACTGATTGCTAACCCAGCACAAGTTGATTAAATGTTTCAGGGTGAGGAGGCCATACTGACCTACAGCTTCGAGAGTCCCAGCCAGCCAAATTTGCAGTTATATATTGAATAAGATAATAAATGAAATTGATGTTATTTTATTTAGGGAAAATCCCAATTAAATCCATCTGAAATAATGAAATTCCGATTAAGGCTTATACTTTTAACGAATTCCTAATTAGGCTAAGAGGCCTAATTAGGGATTTTCAAATGTTGCTGAAAGACCGGAATGCCTCTTTGTAATAAAAAAGGAAAATTGAAAGTAGGTGTAAATCTGATTTTAATTTTAATTATTCTAGTATTTACTAATGAGGACGTGGTCTTTCTTAGATTTTATGTCAAAGGTGTGTTTTGTAATTGTGAACGTTATGTCAATTCTAGAAGTTATGGCCTTTTATTTTTTTTATATAATAAAAATTTGATATTGAATAAATCTTGGAGACCGGAAAATTGAAGATGAATTGATGAGTCTCAATGTAAGTTGTGAAATAGTAAAATTAATTTTGATAGATATTCAACAATTCCATGAATCTTTGATTTGATTTTTTCTCGCACAAAAAAAAAAATCTGATCTTGTTAATCTTTTACATTTGAAATCGTAAAATTTTTATTAGTTTCCATATTTTTGCAATTCTATAGATATCTAGAAATTATGTATTTTTTTATCTTGAATTTTCAATTACTTTTTATTGGTTATAATCGTGATTTTTCTTTTTTTGTTTTTTATACGATAATGTTTTTGGCCAAATTTTCATGTGATAATGTTTAAAGAAAAAACATGTTAGTTAAATTCAATTAAAAGAATTAAAACTAAAATTAGGCTTTTTAATTATGAAGGGTATTTTGGTCTTTTAGAAATATTTAAAAATCCCTAATTAGGTCTCTTGGACTAATTAAGAATTTGTTAAAAGTGCAGGCTTAAATTAGAATTTTGCTATTTCAAATAGATTTAATTAGAATTTTCCCTTTTCTTTAGATCAAATTACATAAATTTCAATACATCTACATGACTGATGACATTCTACATTTAGTGATATTTGATGTATTTTTTTAGAGCTATCAATGCATAGTGGGAAGCATTTGCATATAATTTTCTAAGGAAAAATTAAAGTGATTGCACCATATGATCTTCAATGTGAATATCATTAAGAAAATGAGTTAAGAACGATAGAACTTAAGCAAACAAATATAATTTTTCATTCATAATTATTGATGTCTAGCATGGGTTAACCATTTTTGATAAAAGAAAGTAGACATTCCTAAAAGAAATAACAAACCACACAAAGGAGGATTGGTTTGGATTAGCAGTAGAAAAAGTAACTTATTCTTAATATGACTTTTAGAAAAATGAGATTAAGTAAAACTTAGATTGGGTAATGTAATTTGTATTTGAATTAACTTTTATAAAAGTTAGTTTGTAAAATAAAAAAATTATTTCGATTATGATTAAATAATTAAGTTTAGTCTGTAGAATAACCGAAATGTGTTTGACTTTTATTAAATAATAAAAATAATTAAAAATATGAATTTATAAAATATAATAATTTTAAATTATTATAATATCAAAAGTTATATTTAATGAATAAAATATATTTAAATTAGAAATCATAATAATGTGAAAATTTTTGAACCAAATACTATTGTGTAATTAATTGGATGATATACTCTGCATAATTTATATAAACATAAAATAAAAGATAACATTAAAAGTTAAAAATATAATAAAAATTGTTAAAAATTATTTTCACTTAAGATAATATTAAAAATAAAAAATAAAAAATTGATTGAGAAGCACAAAAAATATATAGAGAAGCATAAAAATATCATAATATAAGGGTAAAAATATCTTTTAATTTCAAAAGCTATTTTTGCATAAGTAAGTTTTAGGTACTTCTACAATCATATTTAAAAAGGTAGCTTTTGATTTATAAGTTCAGTTGGTCAAAAGCTGTGACAAACAGCTTTTAAATTTGTGAACTGGCTTATCACCCCTAGAAATTACTCTTTTCCTCATCAGGTGCTCTGCCAAACAAGCACAAAATATAGTGTTTTTTTTTTCTGTGAATAATACATACTAATCTTTCTAGGCATATAAAGAGGATACAGAGATGCTTCTCAACTAGTTTTTTCCTATGCGCAAAAGATGTAAGTTAACTACCAATCACTTGCTTAAGAGATAGGAGCCGTTATAACTCATTCACCCAAAAAAAAAAAAGGCCATTATAACTCGTATCAAGTTAAGAAAGTTAATCTTTTTACGAAGTCATCAAGTTAATCTTTTTACGAAGTCATCTTCATTATTTACCAAACGCACACAAGTCTCTCATGAAAAGAATTGAAGAAAACACGTATAATCTCAATCTCAAATAAAACACAAAACATGTTTGTAATGCTACTAATTATTTATATGCATGCCCTTTATACTCCCAATTAATTTTTTAAAGGTTGATTAACTACTGATCCGGTCCTTAATATAAGATCCAATTATTGAGTTGATTTTGATTTTAAATATAAGATCCATTTCTCATATTTATTAATTTTCTTTAAAATACTCCTATGGATACTCCCTCAACCATAATCAAGTAGAAGAGAGAGTGTGGGTATTAAAAAAAATGATTATAATGTTTTAGGAAAAACGTGTCACGTTTCTTATAATTAACTAACTTACCTAACTTCCTTAATCTAATCAAATTAATTAAGTAGATATTATATTAAGGACAAGAGAAGTATAATAATTGATGTTAGCGCTGAATGCACAATTTTAAATAGTTTAAACAAGCTTTCTCAACAGAAAGCTGAAGCAGATCAACTTGAAAGATTGAAAATGAATGAGCATATCCACATGGATATGTAATTGTAGTCAGCAAGATAAATCAAAATAAAAAACAAAAGTACAAAGTCAAGTAGCTAATTAATCCAAAAAAGACAAGGTATGAAAGTCTAGTTTAATAATACCCCTCCAGTTCTAAATATAAGATCACTTTTGTAATACAATTTACACTACAATAAAAATCTTATATTTAGAACCGGAAGAATACAAAGGTATAATTTTCAAACTACATACTGACCTATAGATCCGAGAGTCCCAACCAGCTAAGTTTGCAGTTTCAAAAAGAGCACGTTTCCACTGCTTCACCTCTCTGGGTTTTGTGTAAGTGTTTTTCAAAAGCTTCCTGGTAAGTTCTCTTTTGATTGCGCACATGAGATGGGTCGATTTGGTAGAAAATAGGAATAACAAGCTGTCCTTGGACTTCTTTACACTCTAGTATCTTAAGCAGTTCCTTCAAACACCATTTTGAGAAAGCATAGTTTTC